GGAATTGTTTCTATCGGGTGATTTTCGAGGATGAAAATACTTAAAGTGGGGAAGAGTTGTAACACCCCTTTTTAACTATTTAGTCTCCTTGGCGTTATTTTTTTATGTTGGTGTGTCCTTACGGTGGTGTGTCTGAGTGGCGTTGGTGGATGCCCTTAGACTGTAAGAATTATTAATAACGATTGGAGTTTAATATTAATATAATATAATTAATAATTGGTGAAAATTTAATAATTAATAGTAATGTTGTTATTATTATTATTATTATTATTATTATTATTATTATTATTATTATTATTATTATTGGAGTAAATATAAAAGAGGGATTTTGGGAGAAAGAGGAAACACGTTAAAACTGCTCAGAACCAAAATCAAAGGAAAAAGAGATCGTGACCGAGAGAAGTTTAGAAGAGGAGAATTAACCACCGGAGAGAATTCACGGTAGTTGCAGAAGAGTCGCTAGAGAGCTAACGGGAACCGGAAGCGTAGAGTTGACCTCAATTCCAAAGGTAAGGGTGGGGTTCAATTCTATAACTGTGGGTATGATGGATTCATGAAGGGTATAGAATCATAGGGTTAACATTCCCGTGGTAATATTCCCGTAGCAATGTTCCCGTGCTAATATTTCCGTAGCAATGTTCCTGTAGCAATATTCCCGTAGTAATATTCTCGTGGTAATGTTCCCGCAGTAACGTTCCCGTAGTAATATTCTCGTAGTAATGTTCCCGTAGTAAATGTTCTCGTAGGTTGAGAAATATTAAGGGTTAATGTTTGTCTACGCCTGAATTAGTGTTTATGTCATTAGTTTTATGTAGTAATATTGGGAATCGGCGCCGACACGAGCTAAATTCCCATTTGTTGAGAAAAGGTTGTTATTATGCTCTTACTTGATCGACTTCAAGTAGGGAATCGAGTCATAGATATAGTTCCCGTAGGTTGAAGAAATATTAAGGGTTAATGTTTACCTGTGCCGGAGAAATACTAAGGTTAATCCTTGTCTGTGTATGAATGAGTGTGTTATGTCATTAGTTTTGGGGGAATTGGGAAACGGTGCTGACACGCGCTATTTTCCCATTTATTAAGAAGGTGTTGTTATTATGTTCCTATTTAATTAAATTATAAGTTGTAGTTATATTACCCGTATGAAAATGTGTTGAGTTCTTATTTGTAGTAATGATGTTGTTAGTTGTTCTCTGACATGAAAATGCTGTTGAGTTCTCAATTGTAGAGACGATGTTGTTTTTAATTGTTTTCTGCGAAAATGTGTTGGATTCTTATTCGTAGGAACAATATTGTTACTTGTTCTCTGACATGAACAAGTTGAAGTGGTGAGTACATGATGTATGCGAAATGTGATGTTCTGTTATGGATAATTGGTTGTAGGCTTGATGCCTTGTTGCACAGTTGTTGTTGTTGTGTTACAGTCCATAATAGTTGCATCTCATAGCATATCATTTGGCCTGGATTGGCGAAGGTTGTGTCTTTAATGACAAAATAAAATAATTGTGGAGTGAGTCTCCCTAATGATTGTGGAGTGAGTCTCCCGGATAATTGTGGAGTGAGTCTCCCGAGTGATTGTGGAGTGAGTCTCCCGAATTGTTGTGGAGTGTTGTCTCCCGGCTGATTATGGAGTGTTGTCTCCCAAAAATGGTACCACATGCATACGCACAGTTGAGTCGCATAGAGTCACATTTTTGTTGTGTTTGCACGTGATGACGTGTTGATGAGATTTCTTGCTTGTCGTGGCAGATATGAGAGATGAATCATTGTAGTAATTGTTTATGATATTTATAAAGCCGCGAGAATCTTAATTGCTGTGATATAATCCTGACATGACTTTTATCATGCCTTATGTTATGTTGTTGATATCTCACCCTTTACGTTGTATGGTACCTCCGTTGGTGGTAATTTGCAGGTAACTCGGAAGAAAGTGTCGCTTTATGTTTAAGGTCGTTGATCGCTCTGATACGTAGCACTCTGGGGGGATGAACGATTCATGTTATTGTTTTAATTGAATTCCTTGTTGCTGAATTTTATTAAGTACTATGGCAAATAGATTGGTTGTTTCTGAGAATGCCAAATATTGCTTGGATGCATAGTTGTTTTAGTGAATTGATGCAAGATAATGACTTGCTGAATTTTAATGGAATTTAATTATTACGAATCGTTGGAAGTGTATTATAACATGTCGTTTTATGATTAAAATGTTAAACAAATTATCGTTGTTTGTTCATCCGAATTTTGTGCTACGTATGTTAGTAAATGATCTTTTGCAAGTGTATGTGTTTTAGTTAAGTGTTGAAATGTGACACCTCTGATGCGTCCCAGATTTTGGGAGTGTGACGGTCGTCACCACTCCCTGACGCTCGTCATGACCGTGACGGTCGTGACATCCATGATGGTCGTCATGAAACCTTTTTCTGCTGCACTCTGAAACTATTTTTTGTTGTTTCTCTTATTTTTCCGCGAGAGTTTAGAGTGGGGTGTTACAATATCCACGTCTTATATCCACCTTCCCTCAAAATTATTTTATCATATTGACAATATTTTTCCTTCTTCTTTGGATAGCTCGAGTGTGGTAGAACTTGGTGTTTCTATCTCTATCCACCATCCAATATTTTTTTGCTCTTTGGAACTAGATAAGTTATTATTGATATAAGATTTTGGCCAGTTTTATTTGGAGGATCTTTTCAAGTTTCCTTATACCAGCATGGTCTTTCCCACTTTGAAAAGCTAATTGAATAGCTTAAATTCTTTCCCAAAGATGCTTATTTTCTTTTTGAATACTTTTAGTGTTGCGTAAGTTCCACTAGCTAACTTTATTTCTTAAGTTCTCGAGATTTCCATTGAGGTTGAGATTAGCTTTCCAGACACCTTTTGATCATAGCTTCAAAGGAATCCTCTAAGAGCTAAGAACATTCAAACATGTAGTCTCTATTCTTCTTTCTCAAAGCCTTGTTCATAAGATGGATCACAATAGGGTGGTGATCTAAACAATCTAATCTGAGCAACACTTAAACTTGAGCTTCAGGATACATGATTCTCCAAATGTCATTGTTGACCACTATGTCTAGTTTTTCATAAACTTTCATTCCTCTTTGAGTAATAAGACCACGCCAAGTATATTTATACCCTGTAGAACCTAAGTTCATAAGAGCACAATCATTTAACATGTCTTGTAATTATTTGCACCTTCTTTTAGACACTTCAACACCCCCTCTTTTTTCCTTCATCTTCAAAATATCGTTGAAGTCACCCCTAATCAACCACCCTATTCTCATGTTATGCGCAATGCATTCAAGCTCTTTCCAAAAAAACCTTTTTATTCTCCTTTCTAAGAATGGAATAAACTGTTGTTAAAGCATACACTTTCCCATCAGCCGTGCTAATATTGGCATGAATAAATTGGAAATGAAGCTTCAAAATAGGAATTTGGAATTTATTATCTTTCCAATCTGTCATACTTCAATTTTGTCCAGGCATTTTAAACTTTCGTGCATTCAACTTCATTTTGTTTTGCTTAAAATAAAATTTTGATCTTATAGACAGACCGGTTGAATTGATTTTCAAATGCGCGTAAAATTAGCAGGCAATAAATTTCAAGACAGGCCTGCAGCTGTCAGTTTTATTGATTTACGGTTTGCGTAGTTCGACTCGGCGTGCTCATTTTATTTTTCCGGTCCCGTTTGCATTCGCATTTTGATCAGTCTAATCCTTTTTAACCTGACATTTTTTATCGTAAAATTTGATTTTTATCTATCTGTTTTCCGGAACTTTATTTTGCATAGATCATTTTAATGCGTTTGTTTTATTTTTTCGCGCATTTTTACTCCCGATTTGTATTCATTTTATTTCCTTTTATTTTTGTTTCTTTATCAAAATGTGGAGCAAAATTGATAGAATTGATTAAACATTCGATTTTATTTTATTTGCTTTATTTAAAAAAGTTGTGATTTTTTATTACATTTATTTTGTAAAAACTCTTTTATCACATATTAAGATTAAGTGTGGCATTTTTTACCTTCACTTCAAGTTGAAACCCTATTTTTCTCCGTACTATGTTAAATTTTCATTGGCTTATCGGAAGGGAGAAAAGACACGCGCGCGACGAAATCTCTCTCTCTCTTTAAAAAGGAAAAAAAAATAGTTGAGTTTTTGTTTTCTTCCTCTTCAATCACGCCACCATCTTCTTTTCTCTACCCTTCTCGGGTTAATATCCACTCCATTTATTTGTCCCTTCATTTTCTCTATTACTATAGTTTTATGTATATAAAATCAACTAAATATTAATTATATGTCACATGTCATAAAAATGTGTGTTATTTACACACAAAACTATAATAATGGAGAAAATGGAGTGGATATTAGCCCACTCTTCTCTCCTACAAACTCAACATTCCCCTTCCTCCTCTCCTAACCACCTCATATCTCATTCTCACAAGCCATAAAAACGCATACCACGCTACAGTACTCGTTACACACAACCAGTATACAAACTTCATCCTCTTGATCCAACCCCCCTCCACATTGAATAACAACGTATTTCTTCTTCACAAGTTTTTGTCTCCGCACCCATCATTCCAACCTTAATGGTCTTTATTTAAAAGATAAATTTTTTATTTTAAATTGTGAAAATAAAATTCTTTAATTTACAGCTTTCTTTTTTTTTTATCATTATTTAATACATTTGTATTGATCATTATTTATTTTTAAATTTAATTTTTTTTAATTTTAAATTTCGATATGTATCTAAATCTATTTTTTATTGACTTTTTATTAAATAAATTTAGCCGTGGTTGAGTATAATTATCTCACTAGTTTATTAGTATTCATCCCTCTTCCCTTCATTTACATCTGAACAAGTCCAAGAATTCTCGATGGTTTAGTGCGATCAGTCAAACCCCAGAAAAGAAGGAAATTTCAAATAGAAGAAAAAACTACTACTCTACTTGTGACGCTTATTTCCGACGCTAACTGATCTAATTCTAAAAACGCAAACCATGATATTAATTGACGGTGTTCCATTCTCTACCCATTCATCTTCAACATCTCAGGTAGGTTCACTTTCTTTCTTTCCAATTATACATTTCAGAATGCAAAATTATATATATCTGATTTTGAATCATTGGATGAACATGTAAAAAGGCTGTTTTTTTTTTTGTGATTATGAACAGGGACTGGATATTCTACTTTCTTTGTTGGAAAATCCAATTCTGGTATCTACTTCAACCTCTTTCAAGGAAAATCCAGAGAGGAAGTTCTCAGTTTCGGAGGAGTTTTCTCCAGAGAGATCAAAATTGGTTTATTTATTCCAAAAAGAATATGCTACTGTTGATCCAGCATTTGTTCATGTATACAACTTTTTAAACCCATTTAGGGTTATTCAGTGTATGTTTGTTTTAGCGTTTGGAAGAGGCAAAAGCAATTCCAGATTAGAATTGATTTTGGAATAATTTGTGGTGTTTGGTTCTTTAGTAGAACGGATTCTTTTTTCAGTAAGCTAGAATTTGTACCTTTTGAGTTTAAACGTGATTTTTACATTGAAATTTACTATTCAACTATAAATTTACCGAACCAATTCATTCAAAATCATTTCTTTTCACTCCAGAACCAAACACAAGCTTAGTGTATGTTTGGTTTAGCTTTTGGAAGAGGCAAATGCAATTCTAGGGTTGGAGAATTGATTTTGGAATGATTTTGAGGTGTTTGATTCTTCTAAAGTAGAATGGATTCTGCATATATTCTACTTTAAGATAGAATTTGTAGCTTTTAAATTTAAATGTGATTTTTACATTGAAATTTAATGTTCAACTCAATTTTGCATGAAGTTATCTAAACATAAATCACTTTACATTCAACTCACTTTTATCTAGAATTAATTTTACTAAATCAAATTTTTTTTCACACAGAATCAAACATACGATTAATGTGGTTAGGCTTATATCGGTTACCGTTTTAATTAAATCAGTTGTGCTGAGTTTTACAATTCTTTAGTAAGAGTGTATTTATCTGATTCTTTTTCTCCTTTCCATGCATCACTAGTATGTTGGCACTGATGAAGCGACAACATGTGTAGGAGTTGTTATTCGCAACCCAAAGAATGGAATGTAAGGATTGAGAATTAGATGAAGTTTTACAGATTCTTCCACTGGTTGGTGTTCAATTGCTTATATTATCGTTTTTAATTTGGTGCTGCAGGACGTCGGTTTCCCATATGGATTCACCAAATATCGTAGAAACGGGCCTTTCTCAAATGTTATTGTTACTTGTTGACGACAGTTTGGAGACTGAGTTTGATGTGCTTTTCATCTTCTTTGTTTCTTTACTTTCTAGAGGGATTTATTTTTTGTCATTTGGTTGTTTGATTACTCCTTTTTGTCTAACATATTTTCTGATGCTTTGATAGGTGCATCTAATTGGTGGTTTTGAAGAAGTTTCACCACAAGTCTGGCTAGTGTCTTATGCTTTGATTGAATATTCAATTTTACAGTTTCTGCTCAGAGATTGAATGATTGAGGTAAATCTGTTGTGACCTTTTGTGCAGCGTGCTAATGGTGGCATTGTGTCAGAAAGTGATGCAGATTTAGATGGTTATTCCCTTCCTCTGTGCTCAAAGATTGTTCACACTTTATGGTCGAGAGCGGAGAAATTTCATATCAGAACTACTTGTGTTCTTGGACATAATACCAAAAAGGATTCTGACGGAAACACTTGTCCTATTTTTAATGGATTTGTGGTTAGTCTTTGCTTTTAAATGTTATCATTTCAGCTAGTTCATTTGTGATAAACCTATTACTTTCCATCACTACAAAACATATATACTTATTAATCGACCGCTTAGGGTTGGAGAAGAAAGAAAAGAAAGAAAGATGGCTACTGTTCTTGTGAAATACAACAAGGGGAGAGTCTGTTCACGTGTTTGATAGCAAGAGACTCTGTATGCCATGGTTTGATGAAATTAGTGAATGAATCTCCAAGCCTTGAGGTTTGATGGCTACTATTCTTGTGAAATACAATAAGGGGAGAGTTTGTTCACGTGTTTGATAGCAAGAGACTCTGTATGCCATGGTTTGATGGAATTAGTGAATGAATCTCCAAGCCCTGAGGTTTGATGGCTACTGTTCTTGTGAAATACAATAAGGGGAGAGTCTGTTCACGTGATTGATAGCAAGAGACTCTGTATGCCATGGTTTGATGAAATTAGTGAATGAATCTCCAAGCCCTGAGGTTGGAGTATTTATTGGGGGCTCCTTGGGTCGGGTAAGAATAGAGAAATGGTTTTCCCTAGCTTCGACGAATACGTGGGAGTTGGCGAAGACCGGTTCTTTCTCAAAACTTGGAGGGACGGTTTTCCCCCTTGACTACCATGACCCAAACCGTTATCTCCTGGACTCCTCATAGGCCACGTGTGATAAACGAATGGAATATCGAAACAAGTTCAGGCTTAATTAAGAATGTCATAATACATTTTTGGTTTCAATGGTTTTGCAAAAACTGTTGTAGTCTTTTTTGGTGCCATGACTACACACTTTCAAGCCATTAATGGGATTCTAATTTATTACATCCTATGCACCATTTCAGGTGGAGACTGCAACAGGAAGAGTCATCCCATCATGTTTTGATAGAAGTTCCAGAATCCCGGATGAAATTGTCAGAAGAATACGGGTTTCTGCTTCTTATGAAGATACTAGTTGGGATGGGAAGTTGCTAGAGACATATGATACTGTCACTGACTGCTTCAAAATTGCTCCTTGTTGCTGGTAATAGTGTTTCATGAATTGTTCTAAAAACTCTACATAGAAAAAATGTTTATGAGCACAATTCTGAAATTAATCAATCACTTTAGAGGAGCTTTGTCCAATTTTGTGCTAGGCCATGAATATTGGTGAAAATTGTTTTCTTTCAATGTCTGATATCTTTTTCCTCGCTGACGAACTTTATATATTGATGAAAGAAATCCTTTTCTATATTCTGGTATACTGAACTTCTTGGGCGAATCTTTTTTAGGACTCGGCGTCAATATCATATTGCTTTGTCACTTCATCATTATTCTGATTCAGAAATTCTTCCAATCTGTTCTACCTCACCTACTGCTGAGGCCCCAGATTTTGTTGATAATTTAAGAAGGTAAAACTTTGATTGGTTCTGATTTTAATACTATCTTATTTAAAAGTTCAATCTTTGAAGTAATTGATAAAAAAGCTCTAGCATTATTATTTATGTTTTTGTAAATAATACATTGTATATACTAATAGACTAATAATCTGATATCTAAATCCAAATATATGTACAGTCCATTGTTTTCTATAACTTCATATTTATTTGAAAATCACATGAAATAATGACCAGATTTCCCATTTTCAGGCAGTGGAACTACATGATTGAGCATCCACATTGGACAGAAACCTTTCCGAAAAAGCAACCGCGTGTTTTTACAAGGAGTGCTGATGGAAAGTGGAAAAGGTGTTGATAGCATTTTGTTGTTACTCTGCTAACATAGTTCAAGGCATCATCATTTGCAGCTACACTATTCAAGACATGAAGTACCTCTCAAAAGGGAAATAAACTGTGAAGCTCAAGGAAACTAATGTGGAGTTTGTCTGAACATTTGAATTTATAATTTAATCATAGTTATGAGTGAAAGAAACTGTCAATAGTAAATTAAAAGACAGCTTTGAAAGTCGTAATCCTCTGTAATTCTTTACATGATTTAAACATGCTATTATTAAAAGCATGATGAAAAAGTGTTCCTACACTTGGTGAACAGTCCTGTGAACAATCCTGCAAACTGAGAGTGAGTTGCGAATGTTGTTTGAAGTACAAGGAAATTAAAAAAATGGCTCCCTGCAATTTTACATTGGAGGAGTTTACATTATTTAAATTTAGGGAATTGTTTTTCCCACTTTAAGCGGTGCTCCCCTGGTGAAAAATCAAAACTATTTTTAGAACTAGGAAATGTATCTCTGGATGCATTTTATACACACAACTTATTAGTTTTTGAGTCAAGTTATAAGATTATGTCAAAAAATAATAAGGAAATGCATCTATGTATATCTTATAGAAATGCATCTCCTGACGCGTATTTAATCACAAACGCCTTAGACTTTTCTTTTCTCTCATTTCTCTTTTATTCTCTCAACTCACAAACGCGTTAGACTTTTCTCCTCTCATTTCTCTTTTATTCTCTTAATTCACAAACTCTCAAATTCTCTCAAATCTCGTCTAATTGAACAATCAACATTCAATTGATCAAAGAACTCACATTTGATAAGTTTATTTTTCTATAAATTTTTTATTTCTCTATATATTTATAGAAATTGAATATCAGGTTACGGAATAGCTAGTTTGGATATGTTATTTAACAGAGCAATTTGCTTGATAGGTAGTTTAAATGATCAATGCATTTTTTGAATGTTGTATTCAAATGCATTTTTGTCCTTTTTCGTTCTTCTTTGAGTTGCAGAACAATACGGAAATGCACTTCCAGATTTGTTTAGCGTTATGATTTTTTCATAATTCGGAAATGCATTTATGTATTTAATCAAATTGACTTTATTTTCATTGTGTATCATCTGTATAATGCTTGTGTGGTTTAATTATAGGTATTATGGTTGATAATCAAGTTAGATTGAGGCACAACAGAGTTGCGCTACATGCATCAGTTTAAAGGAAAAGAGCATGAGTCTTGTAGGCACCGGTCGGTTCTAGTTCGGTTGATGCGGAGTCATCAACTTCTGGGGCTCATGCATCTTCGACTTCGTCTTCTCGTAGGAGGCAGGTGTCACCTCATGAGGTTCGGATCTACACTAAGGATATGTCATGTGATAGTGCATTCAACCCACTTAGAGAAAACCAGAGGACAGAGCTCTTCATAGTAGAGCTGTCAAAATGGGCTATCCAGTCTTAAACGGACCGACTCTGGTGAACTCAGACTTTTTAGGGTTAGCCAAAAAAGCTCATTTCTAATATGGACTCGAAAATTACTACCCAAGTCCGGCCCTAGATTGGCTTCGGGCTACACGGCCATAAACAAACTTTTTTTTAATAAAAAAATAAAATAAAAATGTCATAATATTTATTATAAATAAAATTAAAATTTATATTATTTTAAACATAATACATTTTTAAGTACTATAATATCTTTTATAAATATTATAATGTGTTTTTAAATACAATACATGTCTAAATTGTATAAAATAATACTCGAATATTTAATATAAGAGAAACTAATAAAATACGAGAAAAGAGTTTTGATTATATTAATGTATAATATTTATGTTTCAGACTGCCCCAAAGGCTAGGCATGCCCCAATCCACTTCTGCACCCAAAACGGCCCAATCCCAGGATCAGCTACCCTTCATCACATCTTTGTCCATCACGCACGATTCAACCATCCAGGAAGGGCCACGACGTGCTTGCCCGCAACCACGCAGCTGCTCAAAATAACGACTAGTTCCGATCATGTCTGCCCGTCACAACAGCTAGTTTATGGCAGTTACCTATTTTTGGAAGCGAATATCTAGGCCCGAAAATAGGGACCAATGGTCAAGCGTTGGGGGCATTATAAATACCCTCTCCTTTGAGAGAGTCAGGTATTTCAAAATCACCCTAAGACATTCTTCTATTGTACTTGCCTTCTCCTCTCCCGATTCTTACTTTGGAATCGGAGTTCCTTGCAGATACACCCCCTCCTCCTTGGATTCCAGCATTGAAGACGAAGTCTCTAGCCTAATTCAGGTTCTGATCAACTGGAAGATCAATGGCACCGTTTGTGGGAATTCTTTTCTCCCCGAAAACCAAAGATCAAAGCAATTTTTCAAGATTCCGGTCATGGCCAGCCATGATAACGTCAATGATGCGCGCAACACCGTCATCTCCCCCGTCAACAAGACAGACAACGACGGGGCAAACCCTTTCTTGGAGACGATGTACCTCAGCAGAGGAACGGAGTCACCGTGTCTCCCTCCCTGGATCGCGCCAACAACATAGAGATCCAATACTCAGAGGACCATCAACCCATTCTAGTTTCGTCCAATGCCAACCCGGCCATGGCAGCCCTTGTCGAAGCCCTCAATCAGACAAACCTTTTGATCCTCCAGCATAATACAAGAATTTGAGCATTGGAAAAGATCCGCCGTCCAAGATCTCCTTCATTAAGGCGCGAGCACCGGAGATCTCGGAGCCATTCTCCCCGACGTAGAAGAAATCGCCAGATGCCAGCGGAGCCAAAATCCCTGTCGATGAGGAAACACGATTGTACTCCTCCCCGGAGTCAACATTCCTCAAGGGCGAAGAGAACAAGAAGAGATATGTGGGAAGAAAACCAACGTTCACCTCCGCCCAGACCTAAGGGTCGGTCGTGAACTCCTTCTCCCCGTCGAGATCGCGGTCCTCACCCTGGCAGAAACGCCCGCTCTCGTTCGCAGTCGAGCAGCTATAGCAACGACGACGAGCCTCGAGGCTCGTTATCCCAGGAGATCATGGCCACTCGATTACCCAAAGGGCTTGAGAAACCCCCACCCCTTGGCACATATGATGGCACGACCGATCCCAACAAGCACGTCGAGAACATTGATGCCCTGCTCGACTACCGTGGCGTCAGAGGCGTCATCAAATGCAAGGTATTCCCGACGACATTGAGGAAGGGAGAAATGTTCTGGTACAAGAGCCTCCCCTACGAATCCATCACCTCATGGAGGCAATTGGGAAGGATGTTCTCAAGACATTTTACAGCCTCTCGCCATCATCCGAAGACAAAATCCTCCCTCGAGGCTACCATTCAAGGAAAAGACAAATCTTTTCAAGCATACATCAAAAGATTCAATAAAGAAGCCATTCAGGTATCCACGACTGACGACATGAAAAAATATTTGCTCGAACGAGGGCTCCGTCCCCGCAGTGACTTTGCCAAGGCGGTTGGCATCGAGACCCCAACAATACTGGACATCGTCCTCCTCAAGGCTCAGACGTATATCCATTATGAAGAAAAAGAAGCGGAAAACACTGCTCAAGACTCAAGGCACCAAGAGAACGCCATGTCTTCAAAACACGATGAATCATCGTCAACTCGTTGTGGAGCAGAAAAAACAAGGGATGGCCACTCCTGGGAATCTCGAGATCACAAAGGGTCATCTAGCTATTTTCACTAGTACACACCATTGACCGCCTCGCATGAGAAGATTCTCTCCGACTGTGCAAACTCGAAGTTTCGGCAGGCAAAGGTCCGTTTCCCAAAGCAGATACCTGTCAAGCCGAACATGGATAAAACAAAGTACTTCCGGTTCCACAAGAGCCATGGGCACATGATGGACGACTGCATCCATCTCAAGGATGTAATTGAAATCTTGATCAGGGATTGGTACATGAAGCAGTTTGCGAAGAAGAAAGACACTCCTCGATAGGATGCCCAGGAAACGAAGAAGGTTGAAGAAGAAGTACCATCCTCGGACGACGTTAGTCTTCAGGTTACCATGAGCATCTCACGACCAAAATATTTTTATGCCTCAGATGGGCTTGATGTCCCTCTTTACTTCACTACACATATCCCCTAGGAAACCTTTCCCTCCGCCATGGTCATACCTGGAGGAGGATTCAACAAGGTGACTGTGGGGTCAGTAAAGAGAAAGTTCGAACACCTCATTAATACGAGCTCGAACCGGAGTTCTACCCTCGACAAGATCCAGGAAGATTCAATTTCCATCACCTTCTATTGCAAAAATCTCTTTGACGGAGCCCCCAATTCTAGTATTCCTCTGCTCATAAGGGTGCAGATGGTCAACTTCGATGTTCTGCAAATTCTGGTCGACCGGGGAAGCTCGGTCGACATTATGTACTCCCAACTGTTCTCCATGCTTTAGATGGACGAGACGCGCCTGACACCCTATGTAGGCTCATATCTACAAGGCTTCAACGGTTCAATCACGAAGCCATGGAGATACGTGAAGTTGATTGTCACCTTCGGGGCAGCGGAGACGGCCAGATCCATCAAGATTCAGTTTCTGGTAATTGATTGCCCATTCTTTTACCAGTGTATCTTTGAACGACTAACGCTGGCCAAATTGATAGTTGTGCCCTCTACGACGCACTTGAAGATGAAGTATTACGCTTCCAAAGAGCTCGTCGTCACCCTACATAGAGACATAGAGGAAGAAAGAAGGTGCTTCGAGGCAGCCTCAAAAGGGTTTAACACTATCGTCACTCGACCAAAGACGTCCAGCAAGCATGCCCTACCCTAAAGCTCCGACGAGACGAAACTGCTGCCCCGTGTCGACTCCATCGACCTCGACATCTGTTTCTCCAAGGACGAATTAAGGGACCAGAAGAAGAAGAAGAGGGAGACTCAATCAAACTCGAGCAGACCCTCAACATCAACAAGCAGCGGTGAGCCTACCCATCCTATGAAGCCAATCCCGGATGTAGAATTCGAGCTAGTCCTCCTCGGAGACGACCCCCTCAAGGGAGTTAAAATT